CTGCCCAGGACATGGAGGGATGGGCCGCGGACACCTGCCCCTTGCCAGCACTGGAGAAGGACCACCAAGGCTGTGCAGGCTGGGGTGCCAGCCCTCTGCCCCCTCTCGGAGCAGGGGCGGCTCGGGCTGCCGGCAGGTTCTGTCTGCTCCTCTCAGGGCAGGCGCGCCTGGGGCCCCTTCCTCGCACTAACTTCTCACGGCGCTCAGCCTGGAGTGAGAGAGGGGGCCACGGGCGGCGCGCCTGGCAAAGCCCAACCCTTGCCCCCTGCCCCACCATGGTGCCCTCCCTGCCCCCTTGGGTGATGCCAGAGCACCTGGCTGTCTCGTCACTTCTAGGCCCTCGTTGTCCTCCTGCCTCGTCTCCTCAAGGTCAGCTTCCCACTGAGAGCAGCTCTGCCTTCCTGACCGGGCACAGTGGCTCATGCCTGTAATCCCAGCACCTTGGGAGGCCGAGGCAGGAGGATCGCTTGAGCCCAGGAGTTCAAGACCAGCCTAGGAAGCAGAGTGAGACCTCGTCTCTACAAAAAGATCAAAGAAGTAGCTGGGCATGGTGGACATGCACCTGTAGTCCCAGCTACTCAGGAGGCTGAGGCAGGAGGATTGCTTGAGCCCAGGGCTTCCAGGCTGTTAGGAACCAGGATCGTGCCACTGCACTCCAGCCTGGGTGACAGAGCGAGACCCTACCTCTCCGCCAAAAATAACCTCTGCCTTCTGTGCTTCAGCTGTCCTCCTTCCCACAGCCCTGTCCAGCAAGGGGTGTCCGGCAGGGGGTGTCCAGCAGGGAGGATCCAGCAGGGCTCCTCTGCTCCCAAGTCCCAGTAGGGCCATACCCCCCCACCCCACTGCCCCCACCGGGACTCCATGGCCAGCCCTACACCCTGCCAGCCTCAGCCAGAGCAGCCAGAGGGAACTGCAGATCACTGACCATGTCACTCCCCCAGAACCTTCCATGGCTCCCCAGGGTCCACAGAGTAAAAGCCACCCTCGCAGAGCAGCCCCAGCCGCCTTCCCCTTACCGGGCCATCCTCACAGCCCTGCCGTCTCCCATGCCCCAGGCTGCAGTGCCGCGCATGGTATCCTGCGTGGACCACACGTCACACCTCCAGGCCTCTGTTCTGGCTGCTCCCTGAGCCAGGCGTGCCTTTTTCTCTCCTCCTGTCTGCCTGGGACCCCGCCTCTGTCTCAAGGCTCAGCTCACGGGCAACCTCCCCTGTGCAGCCTCCCTGACCCACCCTTGCAGACTTGACCTCCCGTTCCTCTGTACTCCTGCTGGACTTCTGTCCGAGGACCAGAACACCCCATTGTGAGCTTTAGGCCGAGCTCCTTGCGGCCCCACCGCTGAGTGCCCGGCCTGAGCCAGTTCTCCGTCTGTGTCTGTTGCGTGACCCTGTGACCGCACGCATGAGTGAGCAAGTGCGGGCCTGTCCGGGCTTCCCCGCAGCCCCACGGCCCTTTCCCCGCCCCTCCAGACCACCACCCTGATCGGGCTGCTGAAGACCGCACGGCTGCTGCGACTGGTGCGCGTGGCACGGAAGCTGGACCGCTACTCGGAGTACGGGGCGGCCGTGCTCTTCCTGCTCATGTGCACCTTTGCGCTCATCGCACACTGGCTGGCCTGCATCTGGTACGCCATCGGCAACGTGGAGCGGCCCTACCTGGAGCCCAAGATCGGCTGGCTGGACAGCCTGGGTGAGCAGCTCGGCAAGCGCTACAACGACAGCGACCCGGCCTCGGGCCCCTCGGTGCAGGACAAGTACGTCACCGCGCTGTACTTCACCTTCAGCAGCCTCACCAGCGTGGGCTTCGGCAACGTGTCGCCCAACACCAACTCCGAGAAGGTCTTCTCCATCTGCGTCATGCTCATCGGCTGTGAGTGACCCAGCCTCGGGGCTCCTGGGCTCCCCAGCAGGTTTGGGGACGAGCTAGAACAGGACACCCCGTGACTGTCCATGCAGCACGTGAGCCCCATGTGTACGGCCTAGGGGCGTCTCAGTTGCATGCCTCAGGGACACCCAGAGTTTAGCCCCCACAGCCCTCGCCACCTGTGGGCCCGAGTCAGCTCCATCATGTGTAGGGTCCACAGCAAGATGAGCACACAGGGCCCCTGAAACTATTAAGAATTTCGGCACTTGGGAGGCCGAGGTGAGAGGACTGCCTGAGCCCACGGGATTGAGACCCGCCCGGGCAACTTGGCGAGACCTCATCTCTACAATAAATCAAAAAATGAGC